GCGAATTCGCCGCGATTCGCGAAGTCTGGTGTGGCTCTTACACACGAATGCGAATGTATGGTGCGAAGTGGGCCGGCAGTAAAGAAAAAAGGAAAAGAATCCGTCAAAAACGCTTAGGTTGAGGGCTCACTCACCTTCCCGATCGGCTGCGCTGAGGGAATGGGTGCGGGTTCGAAACCCGCCTGGGGCGAAAAGCTCCTTCACAACCCAGTATTCTTGTGAGACTTTAACCACTCGTCTCGAGGTACAAAAGGCGTTAATCAGCCTTTTATTGTTTAGAAAACATCTTGAAAACCGCAAGACCCTCTTTTATACAAATCACAATATTTTGAGTTCATTATAAATAACAACTCCTAAAAAAAGGCAACTCATTCCTGCTGTAATTTAGGGTTCTTCTGTGCATATTAAATATATAATAGGAAAAATAAAACAAACGAATCTCGAACAAGGCAAATAGCATGAGCAGACTGACATGACCAGCAGCCAATCTGCTAAGCAACAAGCGTCATTGAGCAAATTGCGGAGGCGACGAATGCTTCAGATCGTCAAAAGGAAATCAGAGAAAGACGGAGAGAACAAAGCCTTGGGGCTGGGGAGTTGAACTCTTCACCTAGAGGAGCTTCATTCTTTTACATATCAATAATACCAAATTCGATACACAGAGAAAGTAAATAAAAAGGAAACTTTCAAAAATGAATCGTGGTGCGAAAATCTTCCACACCATCAGATGTCTTCTATGAATCGTGGCAGCAATACATGAGAACAACGAAGCAATCGAAGCGCAGCCAACCAAGGAATTCAACGAGTCAGCCTTAGTAAGTGGATGAAGAGGTAAGACGAGAGGCACTATGATCGCAGACACCGCAATGTGCGATAGAATCAGAATAGCAGGAAACACACGAAGCGAGAAATTGCCGGGTAGACCAACGAAAGCCGCTTGCCACGGAATGGCTGGTAGTGTTGGCGAGTGTCCAGTGAGGTAGAAACCCAACGGAATGAGTAGAGAGAAGAGTGGAGGCAAAACGGCTGAAATGAAGATTATCAGCCTTTACCAGCGATCGACTTGAGAAACAAAATATATAAGTTGAGGGCGCACCATTGCGGTGTGTGTAACTCTGACTGTTCTGTTCCAAGGCAACAGGAACGATAAAGTGGGTTTGCAACAAGTATGCACCATGAAAGCGGTAGCCAGACGGCAAAAGAAGCAAGATATGAGGCCTTTTTCTGCGGAAAGTGCGCCAGCTGTGATGAATTCCAGGCCCCGAAATACATGAAGAAAACGCCCCGCCGCCGAAGCCGCTCCACCCACAAGCGGAATTTCGCGGTAGTGACGTGATAACCGTTCGTTCTCGCATGTGCGTTTTGATCCAGATAGCCGTATCTCCTAGTATTTTCGTCTGCTACATCCTATGAAAACACCCACACCCAAACTGCAGTATTAAAGGCAGCGATCACGATAATTTGAAGGAGTGTTCAGAGAGACGAGGAGATGCTCAGTGGTAGAAAAAGCAGAAAAATCCGTCAAGAAAGCGCAAAAAGGGACACCCTTTTCCGGCCGCGGGCTTCCAATCATGAATAGGTAACGGTTCAGAAGTAGGATATATAAGCGAGTTGAGACCACATGCCATAAGCCATCCTCTCAATCGAGTTGCTCAGTTGTGCGCTCCGTCCAAAATCACCAATTAAACCAGGGGTGGACAGCTTGGGGGCCGGAAGTCCTGCTCAGCAATCAGCGCACCTTTCGTCATGAAAGCGCCACAACCTCGCCTCCTTGGCGGAAAAGTGAAAAGTATCTGATTCATGTGGCGCACATGCTTTCCCAATGCGCTTCCTCTTTATCGTAATCGCTGCCTTTAAGCCTTGGACCCATCCATAGTTACCAGGGCAGAACGAGGATCCCATTTCTCGTTTTTTGACGATTTCTGTTAAGGCATTCCATTATTGCAGTCCCATCTGACATCTCTGTTTTTATATTTGATCAACACCACGTTTTCGTAGTCACAGTCTTTAAGGCTACGAGTTGAGCTCCCATTCAACAAGTTCGGTTGCTATCATTTCTTCTGCAAGGAAATTTTACATGAGGAATGATATGATTTCCCAAGAAATACCCGTTCCCGCGATACCTACATATTCTTGAAGTCTGAGAGTTTTTCACAAATGATAAATAAGAAAAACAAGCCTTCTGACAAAATAAAAAAGGCCCACCTGCGTCACACAGATTAACACAGGCGCAGAGAATGAAAAGAAATGCTACGAGAGCCGGTTGAAGCCCATCGCCAAGTAGAAGAAACAGTGGCCAACAAATGGTGTGTACGAGACAGAGGTACGCAGGACTTCTAGAGCCGCTGAAATTCCATATGCATTTGAAAATTAACAAAAGTTGTCAATATGAAAATGAGCTTGAATGTAGAAGAGATTGACCCGTCATCAACAAATAAATTTGGGTCGACGGTAAATTAATGACGTGGCGTGGCACCGCAGGGTGCCACACTTCGCATGCCGCGTAAGACCGTGTGGTATCCTATGGTACCACACCCCCATTCCTCCTTTTTTAAGTGAAATTTCCCTCCAATTCCTGATTTCTCCATAGACCACTCAGCTTATTTGTCCAGGGTTTCTAGTGCTTTGTTTTAGTTGGTCTGTAGCGGCCGCAAATTGCGTCAGTCCCAGGCGGCTGCAAAGCATTTGCATTTTCGCGCCTGTCGCCCACACCGTACTGATAAATTGACGGTGAGTTCACTCGACCATTCCACTTAGTGCTCGAGAACCCTCTGGAAAGCATAAATTGTCACGTCTTGTGGAAACTCTTACTGCGCTTCCAAGTTCTAAGTGCTTCCACATGTCATTCAAAATTAGTGTAGGTGAGCAATTTTTAAACTTCGAATTTTGACTACTCTGGACCTCGTTTCATTCGTTACGCGTAGTTTCTACAAGATCAAAATTTTGTTATTGCCTCCAAAAATAGCCACATTTGGAGATGCAACTTCGAAAAAAATGCAGAGAGCCTAAAAAGGAGAAATTGAATGAACTTAGGATGAATTAAGCTGCCACTTCGCGCTTTCACTTTTCCCCCATTGAAAGAGGAGGAGATAATGTGGTGGTAAATCGCGCCACCTACCACGTGCACAGCCCGAATCCCGGCGGCTAAACTCCCAACAGGCCTTCCTTCCCTCCGCCTAATTGGTACCACATTCATCTAAGAGGATAGAACACTGATTTTCACATCAGCTTGTCCCTGCATGAAAAGATCTGGGACCAACGTAAACGGAATAAACCATTGCACAAAGATGACCCCATACCGGAATAGCGCCGTTGAATATTTCGGGGAAAAGCCTCCCCTACTTGCGGAGAATAGCCATCGCCTCGCGAATTGATCCCGAATGTATGAAGGATTTGGTATTCCAGGTTGAATTGGATCTGGGATTTGATCCCCAGACGATGCATGAGGTGTCGCTGCCAGGACTCCGTCTAACTATGACCCCTGTGAAATTTATCTGTTGCTAATCAAATTCTGCTATATTAAGAAAGTTCCTGCCGCAATCAATATACTGTTTAGTTCATTAGCACAACTACAAGACTCAACGATGGAGACGCAACTCAAATGAACGAGTAGTACCGCCGAGCACAGTAACCGCCTGAAATGCACTAAATACCGCTGCTACAAATTTCAAAAAGAAAGTGTTACACACCATCGCTGGCAACCTCCCTAGCTCATATTTGGTTCAGTTCGTTGCATCAATGTACGGCCATGTCAGAGATACAAAAACCGTTATTCAGTATGGATCAGTGGGAAAAAGCGAGAAATAAAGAATAACAAAAAAACGGGAAACAGTGGGCAACATAATAAAAACTCCTGGTTTTTTTGACCATCATGAGTGTGATACGTGAAGTTCCGCCTCATGAGCATGCTTCTGCCAAGAGGCGGGTAACACAACCAGAATTACGCCTCTCTGCTCAACAGAAAGCTCGCCATTGCATAGTCTTGCAAATTAACGATCTCACCTGGGCAAGGGCCAACCCCAACAATTGCGTTCGACGCTGCATCTCCTCAGTTTGTGGAGTGAGTCGAACCAAATGATAGAACGTTAGACATGCGTGAGCCGGCCACGACAGCGCCCTAGCGATCTAAAATCTATGATTTTAATGGAATTAGCGCATACTGAATGACCACACTCTGATAACCCTATAACACCTTGGATGATTTTAATCAGAGACAAAGCATTCAGAATAACGCCAGCACACAAATTGGTCACGTCGGAAAGCCAAAAACGACATCACTATAACAGTGATCAACGGCACGTACCTACCTTCCTGCCACCTCAGTAATAGGCGCATTCCCTCAACCGTACTCCACTCCCCCAACCCCTCCCTATTTCTTATTCCATCCCGCATATGCTTGTATTTGAGAAACGATGGTATAATAAATAAATATTAATATCCTCATCTAGTGAAGCACTAAATATAAATTCTCGGTTTTGCTACTGAAAAAAGTCAAGCTCACTCTAAGGAAGTTAGGCAAGACATCAGGTAGAAGGCGACCGACAAGTACATTCAGCGAAAGCAACATGGCCGTAGCTAACACAAACCGCCAGAATACGGCATCAGCTGGAAGTAAAGTAGTGAATTCGATGTCAAGATAAAAAGTTCACGAATCAGAGGGTTACAGAACCCGTTAAGCAATTGCCACAGGTAGTTGATAGGCTGAGTCATTGCAAACAGGATACTAACTCGGACGTCCACCAATACTACCCAGAAAGCAGATGAACGGAAATTCGAAGCATTCAGAGGATGATGAAGATATCGGAAGGCAGAGTGAGTGCTTATGAATAATGAAAAAGCACACCTCATAACGCATAAGAAAAACTCACAAGACAAGGAAGTCAACAACTCCAGCGGAAACCACTGCTGACAGTTTACTTCTTCTTCCCGACATCTATGGAAAAGAGGTTCGAAACGTAAGAGCACGAGAGCAAGACTTAGCAGCCCGATATCCCAGGCAGGCACGCGCCGAAAGAGTGCTGAGATGACACCTGAGACTCGTGGCGACGGCTTGCGATCTGTTCCAGTCCTGCAAAGTATAGCGATCACGAAGCTATCTGAATATGATGTGCTCTCGTACTAACCTAATAACCTTATCCACGGTACAAACGATTAATGCACTTTGTGCCAGAAACCTCAGCACGTGGCCTTCGTAAATTATAAAACTATTCGAAAGAAATGAGACCGAGTGCAAGAAAACGCAGAAATACACGAAAAGTAGAGGCACTGATGGCAGTCGCAATGGAAACAGACCAGATATTATAGGAATCACCGATGTGAGAACTGATAGCGGTAAAACGGCCTGAAAAAATACAATAAAGAAGAAATGTTTTCACTGTCAGAAATATCGTGAACACAAACGACTGAAAGATGTACCAGTAGCAACGACACAGCTGGATTCTCATTCGAACCACCGAAGATGACAGACAGCTGAAGAAGAAGGCATCCAGATCTTACAATGGATTGCGCTGTGGTCAACGGACGAGCTGAGATTGTGAACAGCAGCGTGTCTACGAAGCAAAACAATCCCAGTCTCATTAGCGTAAGGTCGAATTGTGTCCATGCCGCACGAAGAGAAGCTTGAAGACGGCGAATTGTCCTGAATTCAGAAAATTCAAAATTGTGGTTTTCATAAAAGCTGTCTGAAGACATGCTGTGCAATTGCTGCTCATTATGAGTTAAACGAACGGGTAGAAAATAAATTATGGTTAGTAAGAATTCAACCCCATTTAAGGAAATACAGGAAATACATCATATTATCATGTTCACATGGCAGTCATCGACACGCCTATGAGGATGGAATTAAATTTTTTCTTGAGTGGCATCTACAGATTTGTGATTTTTGAAAAGGGGGTCCTATTAAGG